AGAGCCTCTCCCATCCTCTGGAACTCCCTACCGCAGTATGGCCGGTCAGCCCCCACCCTGTCGACCTTTAGGCGACCTTTGAAAACTCACTTATTCAGGGAAGCCTACCCCACCTCCACCTAAGAACTGTACTTGAGCCACCTCCATCAGAACATCTCCCACAGCTATCACCTTTTGTACCACTTCCACACCTTCTTTTAGATTGTAAGCTCCACGAGCCGGGCCCTCCTATTCCTAATGTACTGAAATGTATTGTAATTGTACTGTCTCCCTTATATTGTAAAGCACTGCACAAACAGTTGGCGCTATATAAATCCTGTATAATAATAATTTGTTTTAACACCTATGACCTACCTAGAATGCCTTCAACTGATCAGTAAAAAGTGGAACAAAGAGCTCATGGAGTCTGTCCTGACCAGTAGACCCATTCTGATCAGTTAGTGGGCATCCTGGTGAGTCCTCCATTGAACATTTCTACCCCATTGCAGGTATGGGTTTGACAGAAAGTCTTTGCATCTATTCAAGCGTTTATTTTAATTTATTATATAACGGTTAAGACTTCAATTGGCACCTCAGGCTACACAATTACCAGGCACACATCTGTGATTCCATGGTAAATGAACTTCTCATAAAATATAGATAAACAGTGTTTTGAATGCTTTATCTCTGTTCCTGGAGGTAAATGAAATAATAGGCATGGTAAAATATGGAACATGTGGTTCTCTGCCTGTTCCCTCATCCATTTCTTTAATTGAAGTACTGAAAGCATCTCTTTTCAATGTGCTTGTTGCCTATAGGAAAGATGTATTTTTCCACATTCAGTGCAGTTGAAGCCAAGTACATATTTAATGTCTGGGAGCATTCAAGGACTGACAGGTGCAGAAGTACTGTCATGATAGGGACAGAGAAGCAGAATTATGTTATTGATCCCGATTTTTATATGGCACCAAGTAGAACAATTTTGTCATCTCTGAATTGGAATCATGCCCGGCCACAACTATTGTCATATTAAAATAGATGCATCAACGCTTTGTTAAAGTGTCCATCCCCAGACAAAGTGTCCTGAGGAAGTCTCTGACTTAAAACAGTTTGGCTCCAACTTCCTCTAAACTGTGGGTGAGCTCTGACTAAACCTAAGATAAGAGTTTGCATCTAAATCATTTTGGCCTTCTGGAGTCCAGAGTTATGCTTTATCAGCATGCCCCTGATAAAAAGCTTATGGCCTGTCTAAGTGTCAATGGATGTCTGTCATAACCATCGGATATTAAAGAAGACTGCCACTGAGACACCAACACCTCTAGGTGGAGTGTGCTAAGGGGAGCAGGAATTCGAGAGAGACTGGAGCATGGTCAGAGATTGTGATTCTGTCAATGAAGATTGTAGCAGAAAGGGGTAAATCTGGCCATAGACTGATTCAAATTTGTCCAGTTCAGCAGGAACCAGTTGAATTTTGATCAGGGTGTGGCCGTTCCTGCTTGACAGAAATCGATCTTTTGAAGGGACACGCTGGAAAACATTTGTTGATCAGCAACTGGAGCCACTGATCTGACAGAAATAGGACAGAAGTTGCAGATTACAATGTTCCGGTGGTGGTGGGTGTGGGGGGTTCTTCCATCCACCTTGCAGCAAAGCAAAGGCCGCTAAGTCTGCAACCAGATCAGTTCTGGTTGGTAAGAACTGTATTGATTCCATAATGGCTGCATCCTCACCACTGAGAGACTTTGGAGACAAGGGTGGGTGTTCATGTCCAGGTGGAGGAGGCTCCTGCAATCCACATTGAGTGGTCATTGGGTATATAGAAGAAGGTTTGTCGGTAATGGCCGAGCTGGTGGCAGTAGCCCTCAGTCCCTCAGGAGCAGGAGCAGTCTGTGTAAGTTGCACAGACCACCCCTTTACAGTCCAGATGTTGCTGTTATCTGCTGTTGCATGCTGTAGGTAGTGGCAACTCTAGGAACAATATATGGGGGGGGCACATAAGATAACACAGTCAAAACTTGGGGGGGGGGGCACTAATAATTTTCAGCACTAAATCATACCACTGAAAAAACTGAATAAGTATATATAAATGGGATTACAAAATACGAGAGTAATGCGGTATGCAATAATACCTTTTTAGTGTCCTAACCTAACACTTGAAAGACAAGCTTTCAAATTTTTCCTTTCTTCCTCAGGTATTGCTTCAGGCCTGAGAGAAGAGAGGAAATCTTGCAAAAGCTTTTCTTTATAGTTTAAAGGACAGTGTACAGAGGTCAGTAGTATGTAGGACAGTGTACAGAGGTCAGTAGTATGTAGGACAGTGAATAGAGGTCAGTAGTATGTAGGACAGTGAATAGAGGTCAGTAGTATGTAGGACAGTGAATAGAGGTCAGTAGTATATAGGGCAGTGTACAGAGGTCAGTAGTTTGTAGGGCAGTGTACAGAGGTCAGCAGTATGTAGGACAGTGAATAGAGGTCAGTAGTATGTATGGCAGTGTACAGAGGTCAGTAGTATGTAGGGCAGTGAATAGAGGTCAGTAGTATATATGGCAGTGTACAGAGGTCAGTAGTATGTAGGGCAGTGTACAGAGGTCAGTAGTATGTAGGACAGTGAATAGAGGTCAGTAGTATGTATGGCAGTGTACAGAGGTCAGTAGTATGTAGGGCAGTGTACAGAGGTCAGTAGTATGTAGGACAGTGTATAGAGGTCAGTAGTATGTATGGCATTGTACAGAGGTCAGCAGTATGTAGGACAGTGTATAGAAGTCAGTAAGATGTAGGACAGTGTACAGAGGTCAGTAGTATGTAGGGCGGTGTACAGAGGTCAGTAGTATATAGGGCAGTGTACAGAGGTAGTATGTAGGACATGTATGTATGTATACTGCCCTACATACTACTGACCTCTGTACACTGCTCTACAAGGTTTCTCCTTTTTCATGTAGCACTGTCCTGACTGTGAGAAATTGGACAGTGCAGTTTTAAACCCAATTTCTCACAGTCATTGCTTATGCTAAATAAAAAAAAAGAGATATATGCCTGTTGCAGACTTTTACTTCGATATTATCACAGTAGAAAACTAATGCAGCCACCACATCTAATGATTGGCCATCTAATTGTCTGTATATCCAAAGGTCCCACAGCCACAGAACTTACGGTACCTCCAATGCTCATACTGTATCAGACGAAAGAATGGAGACAGAGCTTAGGTGATCATCTCTGAGACCTTCCAAGCAGCAATACATATGAAAAAAAAAACAACACAGAGCCAAGTTGTCAGAGCCTAATTTAATTGGGGGGGGCAAGGAATAACCTAGGGGGGGGTTATTGCCCCCCTGTAGTGACACCACTGCCTGTAGGTATCCAACCTATGAAAGCCTATAAGAAATCTCTGACATCCACAAAGAGAAGTTAGAAGATGCTACCTTAAAGCGGTAATTAACCCAAGACAAAATATTTTATATATTGCAGCTTACCAATCATTAGATGTGGTGGCTGCATTCGTTTTCTTTTCTTAGGCCTTTTTCCTCTGTTTTCACCTTGCGATCTGGCCAATAATACAACTCCTGTATTAGAGTGCCTCCACTCTAGATGAAGGAGCACAGGGGGCACTAGAGGAAAGCAGCATTGTCAGTCTGGGAGGAGGGAAGTGTTAGATGTACTAGCCAATTTAGATACACTAACAAATTGAAGCCAAACTCCAGCTAATACTATACAAGCAGTTACAGCAAACAGTTTTATTCTTTTTGGGATAAAGGTTTTACATACATAAATAAAAGTTGATAATTGTAAGCACCACTGCTAGTGTTAAATGGTTTGTCTGATCTCTATAACTGATACAATCTGCAGGAGAGTTTGTTCTTTTGAAAAACAACTGACATATTGGCCAGATCACCAGATGAAAATAAAAGGAAAGCCTAAAAAAAAAAACAAATGCAGCCACCACATCTAAGAAATGATAAGTTGCAATATAATAACATAATGCTTTTGGGTTTAGTACCACCTTAATTATTTATGAACTTATAGAAAGAGATACCAGTGTAATAGGCAGTCCAGAAATGAATCATTTAAACAGCAGACTCACTTAAAGAGCCAGGACTGCTTCAACCAAACAAAAGGCGTGAAGCCACTAATTACATATACTATATTGCCAAAAGTATGGGGCCGCCTGCCTTTACATGCACATGAACTTTAATGGCATCCCAGTCTTAGTCCACAGGGTTCAATATTGAGTTGGCCCACCCTTTGCAGCTATAGCAGCTTCAACTCTTCTGGGAAGGCTGTCCAAAAGGTTTAGGAGTGTCTATGGGAATTTGTGACCATTCTTCCAGAAATGCATTTGTGAGGTCAGGCACTGATTTCAGAGAAGGCCTGGCTCGCAGTCCCCGCTGTAATTCTCTGATTCATCCCAAAGGTCTTCTGTTGGGTTGTGCAGGCCAGTCAAGTTCTCCACCCTAAACTCGCTCACCCATGTCTTTATGGACCTTGCTTTGTGCACTGGTGTGCAGTCATGTTGGAATAGGAAGGGGCCATCCCAAAACACAAAGTTGGGAGCATGAAATTAAGAGTTCCCTTCACTGAAACTAAGAGACCAAGCCCAACCCCTGAAAATCAACTCCACTCTATAATTCCCCCTCCACCAAATTTTACACTTGGCATAATCCAAAAGTCCAGTGGAGGCGTGCTTTACACCACTGCATCTGATGCTTTGCATTGCACTTAGTGATGTAAGGCGTGATTGCAACTGCTTGGCTATGGAAACCCATTCCATCAAGCTCTCTACACACTGTTGTTGTGCTAATCTGAAGGCCACACGAAGTTTGGAGGTCTTTAGCTATTGATTCTGCAGACAGTCAGTATTTAGTAGTAAGGAAATTTCACGGATGGACTTATTGCACAAGTGGCAACCTATCACAGTACTACGCTTGAATTCACTGAGCTCCTGAGAGCGACCCATTCTTTTCACAAATGTTTGTAGAAGCAGTCTGCATGCCTAGGTGCTTGATTTTTTATACACCGGTGGACATGGAGGTGATTAGAACACCTGAATCCAGTGACTTTGAGGGGTGTCCCAATACGTTTGGCAATATAGTGTATATCATACCAGTTTCCTGGGGTTATCATCCAAAGCTTAACCCCTTCCCGCCGACGCCTCCTGGCCCTTTAAGAGATTCAGACGCCGGGAGGTGGGGCGGTTGGGGCGTGGTGCTTTAGGAATCATGTGACCGCCGTGATGACGCGTCACGGCGGTCACATGACACCTTTACCTTGAAACACATGTGTGTGGGAGACGCGCGCAAGTGGCTCGCAGCGCTCTCAGCACATATGTATTTAGTTCCTGATCGGGAAAGGTATTTCACACAAAAAAGGTATTGCATTAACACATGTTTTGCTATTCCATGTTTATTCCCTTTGTATGTATTGGAAAAATATAAAAACAGAGGCAGAAAAGCCGATCGAAAGAGCGGACCGGGACCTTTCCGTGAGTACCACACATGTGTGCTGGGAGCGCGCATTTTACCGTAGGCAGGCCTCATTCCGCGCTTTACCGAAAAGCAGCACATATGGGGTATTTAGTTTCATTTCATTTAAATGTCGACGGATATTCGCGCGCTGACACTGAACGCAAATCCACCATGTGCGCAATCTTTCATCAATTTTCCTCATCCGTCCACGACCAGGGAGATTAGCTACAGTGCCATGCTCGGCGTCTAGGCCCAACTTGTAACGCCACGGTTCTCAGGTCGGCCAGCACATCGTCTCCTCTTTCTGTTGTGCAGTGTGGCCGGCGCAAAAGGGGTTAAAGAAACGAAAATAAAGAAACAGGGATTTTGTGTGATAAATACACCCAGGGAAGTATCAATTAAAATACATTCATTTAAAAAAAGTTATAATACGTTTCGTGATATGATTTCGTCCATATGTGACACAGTGATAGTATGTGACAAGCACATCCTAGACAGAACAATGGTCTACACGTTTTGCAGATGTGCCACTTCATCAGGACCACCGATATGTTAGGACATAGACATGAACATCTATCATGTTTATGTCCTAACAAATCAGTGGTCCTGAGAGTATTTGGTAAAATGCTAACCTATGAAGAGGTTATTATTTGTTCCCCACAGGGCTTCTTCCTAGTCCCATCACAAATAATGGTACCATGTTCTTGTCATCATCATCCTGGGCTGCTATTTACTCCCTTCTTCCAAAATTAAGTTTCCAAGAGTAAAAAGTGAGCAACATGAGTCCAAAAATGCTTTTTGTTAGCAATTTCATGACCTATGAGTGTCAGGGTACAATTTTTGACAAAGGCCAGTATGTGTTTGAGTTTTTGTTTGTTTTTTTTGGGGGCGGGGGGGGGGTCCATATACTTGTGCATGCCACAGATACATATTCGTTTGACTTGTAGAGGTATTTTGCTTATGGCAGATCAGTTTTAGAGTTGTAAAAGTATAGTAATTGCCCCTCCTTATATTTAGTTTTATGTGCATCATTGTATTGTAATGATAGGATATTAACATTTAAAATATTTGCAATATTCATTTTACTTGACTATTTAAGACCAGCGAAAAGGAAATACCCGAGAAAGGGAAATTAATCCATTAGAGGTTTGCTTCTGTTTTTTTCAACCAAGGTTGGCCAATGACCACCAGTGCTAGCTGAAGGCATTAGCCAGGTTTCAGCTGTTGTTCTTTAATTTGAATTGGGAAAATTATACACTGAATTTAATTGGTTGATATGGCCAATCAAATTTCTCCAGTTTTCATGAATGAACCCTACGTGCAACAAGTTCATTTTCCTTCGCTCTAGTGTTCATGAATGACCAACAGTGGATGATAGAAATCACTGTGGTGCTCTTCCTAAGTTCAGGGAATGCCTTTTATTACAAAGGATTCTTCCTATTGTGTGGCCTGTAGCTATGTAAGAGTTACTGCCCAGTGTAGTAATGTTCTATCTCTCTGTGGTTTATGTCTGGCCTGACATGAATGGAGATGGTTGAGGCACATGTAGCTTGAAGCTGGCAGGCTACGTTCAGTGATGCGACGACTGTGCTGACTGCTATGTTTTTCAGTAGGAATTATCTTAGTACTTCCTCATCAAATCATTTGTCAGGATTAAAGAGGGATGAAGTTTTCTACAAAAGCTAGGCTGGCAAAGACAAAAGAGTTTAATTCCAGGAAGCTACAAGCTGATCTTTGTAAGTGTTTATTCTGGTCACTGACTGAAGCTAAATACGCTGAAACAATGAAAATGCCTCTTCTGCGGAGGTATTACAGGCTAAAGCTGCCAACAGACATAAGATGCACAGGCACAATCCAACCACGTAAGGATTTTATTTTTATATGTCTGTTGCACAAACAGGTATGCTTGTTTCACCCAAGCCTGCATGATCATGAAACATGTGCCAAATTCTGCAGTGCCTGAAGGATAACAATGAGAGGTCACCAGCACTCTGTTGGAAACATATACACTCAGTAGTACAATGTCACATTATTTATTTATTTCAGGTACTTATATAGCACTGTCAATTTATGCACAGCACTTTACATATATATTGTATATTCACATCAGTCCCTAACCCCCAAGGGGCATACAATCTAGGGTCCCTAACTCACATTCATACATACACATACTAGAGCCAATTTAGACAGGATCCAATTAGCCTATCACCCTGTCTTTGGAGTGTGGGAGGAAACCAGAGTACCCAGAGGAAACCCATGCAGGTGCAGAGAGAACAAGCAAACTCCAGGCAGGTGGTGCCGTGGCTGGGATTCGAATCAACAACCCTAGTGCTGCCAGGCAGAAGTGCTAACCATTTAGCCACTGTGCTGCACATTAGTCAAGTATGCAAATGTTTGGGGCAGCTCAGGGTCCTTTCCTCAAGGAGACATGACAACACAATGAAACATATATACATGAATGAACATTCACAACCAAATACCCACTTCCAGGGATGTCATAGTAACATAATCCCACCAAAAAAAAAGCTACAATGCTATGCCCAAAAAATTAAAGTAGAACTATAGGCAAAACTTTTTGTTTTTCATTTTAGATAGAGTAGTTACATAGTTACATATATATCTATATAGTCCTCCCGCACTTAGAATGTCAATCTCTATATACAGCCGCCAACACCCTACCACATACCACCATGGAAAATTGTTAAATATAATAATTTGGTGCTGCGCTAATAATAATATATCCCTTGAATCAAAAAATCATAAACAACAGAAAACTTCACAAAAAGAACATGTAAACTTCAAAATATATAGAATAGAATGCACATGAAAAATCCAAAGTCATAAATAACAGTGAAACCCCCAAAATAATGAATCTAGGGTGTAACATCATAAATAGGTGACTTGTAAGTGACAATCCTTATTATCCATAAATAGTGCCAACATAACTGGTGATAATACACAAATAGAATCCCACCACTACAGTGCTAAATTTGCACAAAATATACTTGTGATGTGAAAATATACCTACAGGTATATTGCGTGCCAAACCGATATTGGCTAAATATCTAAAAGAAAAGAACACTTATAGTGCACATCAGTGAACAAAAAGAAACTTTTGAAAAGTGGTTAATGGTGAAAAACCACAAAGCTAATCTGCTTATAAACGGCTTCACCATATACAGTATTTTATCAGTGTCACTTAGCCACTAATATTCCACTTTATCCCCAATTAGGGGTCACTGTTATATGGTTCACTTTTATCATAATCAGTTTTTATATCTGTTGAATTTTTATGATTTTATTTAGCAAACACGTTGTGGCAGATTAGCTTTGTGGTTTTTTTCTCCATTAACCACTTTTCAAAAGTTTCCCTTTGTTCACTAATGTGCACTATAAGTGTTCTTTTCTGTTAGATATTTAGCCAATACCGGTTTGGCACGCAATATACCTGTAGGTATGTTTTCACATCACAAGTATATTTTGCGCAAATTTAGCACTGTAGTGGTGGGATTCTATTTGTGTATTATCACCATTTGTTGGTACTATTTATGGATAATAAGGATTGTCACTTATAAGTCACCTATTTATGGTGTTACACCCTAGGTTCATTATTTTGGGGGTTTCACTGTTATTTATGACTTTAGATTTTTCATGTGCATTGTTATTCTATATATTTTGAAGTTTATATGTTCTTTTTGTGAAGTTTTCTGTTGTGTATGATTTTTTGATTCAAGGGATATATTATTATTAGCGCAGCATCAAATTTTTATATTTTACATAGTTACATAGTTAGTCTGGCTGAAAAAAGACAAAAATCCAGCAAAGCATGATTCAATTTGCTCCTGCAGGGGAAAAAATGATTTCCTGATCGATGGAGGGATTTCTCCTATCAGTTTGTTTTGCCATCTGTATCTCATTGGGGAGATTTACCTTCATTTCCTGTCCCTTAGCCCAAAACAGGAAGTGAGAGAAAATCCCTGCAAATTAAGGAAATTTTTTTGAGACTCCCAGGTCATCAAAACTAGAAAATTGGAAATTTTCCCCTCTATTACTTTTCTGACCCAAAATTTGAGGTTTTCCTTTACTTTCGAAGATAATGGTAAACAGGAGGGAGAATCTTGCCAGTGGGGGCATAGACAGAAATAAAAACCTAAAAGATGTTCTAATCCAGTGGTTCTCAACCTGTGGGTTGCGACCCCTTTGGGGGTCGAACAACCCTTTCACAGGGGTCGCCTAAGACCATCGGATCGGAAACACATATTTCCAATGTGTAAAGAGCAGCTACTGTGTTGAAAGCAGCAGTATTGGAGGTAAAACAACACTTCCTGAATTATAATTAATGGGTAAATAATTTTATGGTTGGGGTTCACCACAACATGAGGAACTGTATTAAAGGGTCGCGGCATTAGGAAGGTTGAGAACCACTGTTCTAATCCCTCTATACTCTAACCAAAATTTTAAAAAAAAGGTTTGCCTTTAGTTATACTTTAAAGTGTCACTAAACCCACAACAGTAAAATCAGTCTGTATATGCAGTAAAGCATGCTGGTTATACTCACTGTGGAACCTAAGGGGTTAATCGTCCAGTTTGTGTAAAAAGGAG